GCTAGATGCAGTAGGTGATGCCGCGGACAGTAACGAAGAGGGCGAGCACGTAGCGACAGCCTTCAGAAGTGACCATCCGGAGGCGCTTGATCTAATGTTGGACACTAGGTAGCGAATGAGGACGGGATCTACAACTAGAAAAGGGCGAGATAACGTAGGCTATGGTGTATGTATTCCACCAGGAATGATTGGGTCGGGTTGAGCAGTAATTGTTGGTTTGCTTGCGGATGTTGGTTGTCCGCTCAGCCATAGTCACGGTCGGGGCCTTAACAGTTGCTCCTGAAACAGTTATAGAATAAGCTGCTTTCGCTGACTTATTTTGTTTTGGTTACTTATAATAAAAGGCCAACGAGGTTCTTACTACGCATGTGGCTAAGCTACATTGATCCGGGAGGTCAGCTCCAGGACTGACTCATCAGCCTCCAGGATATCATCCTCAAACAACCTAACAAGCTAAGCGGACATTTTGGAGACGCCTAAAGAACGGGAGCGGAAGATGACTAAAACTCTTGATCTTGGCTGGCTCCAGCCGGAGCAGAAGACAGGGTCTTCCTCTTCTTGACGGGGCGGGGGGATTCGGACTCTTGGCGAATATGGGGAGGGGCCGATGCGTTCTAGAAACCAGTCAGTCTGTGTAACGTGAATTCGAAAGGGCTTGTAGACTTGCCTGAGACGGCTGCTCTTGGTGACCTGGGCCAGGCTGGCTCGCTGTGGTATGAGGCGATTCGGAAACCTGATGATACATGTCAGCATTGAAAGAGAAATGGGGTTAATGAACAAGGATTACCGAAAGTTCAGCAAAGTCGTTGTACTGTGCGATGTAGCAGCTCATAACCCATTTTGTGGCAACGGCAGAAGGGATGTTGAGGAGACCCGGATCGCCCGTGAGCCATGAAGGTGGTGCCAGCTTGGCAAAGTCGTGGAGATTGGGAGGGAACCGTAGTGGAAAAGGTGGATCGAGCTTCGCCTCCATGGTAGTGTCAGACTGGGTGGAAACGACCTCTTTGCCCTTTCCACCACCAGCAGCCCCTCCGTACAGAGCCGAGGCAGGGGCAGCAACTGGGGTTCGCCCAGCCACTACCGCGGCCTGCTTGGAGGGTTTGGGTGCGCAAAGTTTGGAAGGGTGGTTCTGTGCGACCGTGTAGCTGCTGAACCTGCGTGGGAGTTCGGGAAGATTGTGTCCAGATCTGAAGAGATTGGACTGCTCCGGCGTAAGGAAACACAAGGCCAGCAACATCTCAAGTGTGAAAGCAGCATCCATGCTGGCGTTGTGAGAGAGCTTTATGGCGTTTGGGTCGATCTTGTTCCCCTCGGTCGTGACGGGGATGCCAAGAGCATCGGCCGCCTTCCCGGCGTCCCTGCCCTGTCTGGAATCTTTAGAGTGACCAAATCGAGGCGTGAGCTCCTCAGCGCGCTGGAGGTCCCAGAGCAGAACGCCTTCCTGTTGAAGGAATATGTCGACGTTCAGAAGAGCACAGAGGCGCTCCTCCAGTTGTGAATCCCATGTCAGAACGATCATATTGCGGAGAGTTCCAGACTTGACCTCTTCGGGTGTTCGGTTGAGCCTCCTGGCGGTGTCCTAGCGCGCCTGGATGAGTTTACCGAGATCGGCAAAGGAGACGAAGTTGCTCTTGCCGTGCCCTCCACGGATAACATGACAATCGGGCAAACATGAATGATCATAGTGATCCCAGAACTCGTCGACAATGAAATGATTCGTCCTGGCACGCCCAGTCCAGTTGTAGCCACGATCTCCGGGATTGTCGAGGGAAGGAGGGAAGAAGAAGCCGCTGGAGCCCGGTACAGCCGGTGGGGTGTGATCAGCGGCGGCATTGGCAGCCTTGGCAATGAGGTACGGCTTGGGAATGCCGTTTTTGATGACCCTCATGTCCATGATGCACTGGCCGTACTCGGAAGGAACGGGATGTCTCATGTTGACATTGGCCCACTTGATCTGCCTACACAAGGTCTCGAAGTCGAGAGAAAAGATCACGTGGTCTCCTTTCAAGATGGTCCCTTTCATATCGACCGGTATGGTTGAGTTATACTGGTTGACCATGAACTCGTCGCCAAACAGTTCCCTTGAAAGTGTTAATGTGTATCCCGTAGGGTTATTCATTTCATACTCACAGTGGTGGAATCAAAAAGTCCATGGTCGTGTGCCATTCCCCCTTGTCAAGAATTGGCGTGCATTCCGCGAATGTGAGTTTCTTCTGCTGATCCCGAGGTCGAGGCGAGGCAAGCGCAACCGACGGGGGGTGCCCGCCAGCGCCGGCGCCTGCTTGACCAGACCGCAGCTGGGAGGAGGGCAGGCTCAAGCTCATGATGCTATTTTACAGTCAATACATCTGTCAATCGAGACCACAGTCAGAGAACTGCTCACCAATGAAGCCGGCGAGAGGAGGAACGCGAGGTGGACTGTTAAAAGTCTAACTGTAGTACAGGAAGGGACAAGGTCGTTGAAATTCGATCGCGATGGCGTGGGTGGGTGGGTGATGGAGGAAAGAGTAAGTGGAGGAAAGAGTAAGTGGAGGAAAGAGTAAGTGGAGGAAAGAGTAAGTGGAGGAAAGAGTAAGTGGAGGAAAGAGTAAGCGGAGGAAAGAGTAAGTGGAGGAGGTCAAGGTACAAGGGAAGAAAAAAAAAACAAACGAGGTAGTCGCTTGGCTCGGCTAGGTTCCCCAGGTTTTCACAGAAGATTGGGAAAGAGCCTCCAGTGTCATCGCACTCATATTTTCATGTTGATGCTCTTCTCGCCCCTACTCTTGCTTGACAGCCTGCATACAAGCCCCACTGGGCCTGTGACAAATCGGCACTGATTAAGACAAACCGACAGGCTCAGGCCCCGATGACCAACAGCAGCTGGCGAGATGGGAACGGATCAGAGGTATCAGGGCGCATCCGCTGTTCAGGCTCAACCATGAAGCCTATACTCCGCTTGTCGCGGTAGGCACCAAACAGCCTGCTACGGTTGGTTAGAACTGCAGTTGTATCATGATCAGAATTAGAACCAGTTTAGGCGGATGCACCCAACATCACAACATGCATTCACTATAGTCCATGTAAATGCGCCGGCAACCCTATCGTTTGGTATATCACTGTCAGGAAAGTCGAGAAACTCAAAATTAGCATAACCACCGGTAATATAATATCCAATATACAAAGACTTAAATCCGACAGAGTCGACGCACATATACCGCCAATCCGAGTAAGTGATCTTTTCAGCACATCTCGAAGACGATTGTGCGGTGATGCATTGGGAAACATCTCCATGAGGCCAGGGAAGTGGCCTTTGGCCAAGTCGTTGGAAACAGCCCCATCGCTCCATGTTTTGCGCCAAGCTCGAGAGACAAGTTTGCAAAACATTGTGTCCTTGAGGCTGGGATCTTTTGTCATTTCTGCGATCAACTCCGTGGGTGGGTAACTCAGGCTTGAACCTCTCCACCCTCTGTTCGACAAGCTCCCTCGACCCACGCAGCTCCGGGATAGACATTGAATTGACGAAGCTCTGTAAATTGCTTGAACTGGTAACTTCAGGGCAATCCGCAAATCAGAACGGAAAACTGCTCAGCCAGCATGTTGATGGATACCCTCCCAAGCCGCTGTCAGCGTATCGGCGGCCACCAGTCATGATTTGTACAACAGAAGGGCGCCGCTGTCCGGAAGGTCGGTGATCGACGGTAAGGCTGACCGAATGTCTGGACTCGAGGGAGGTGGGTTGGGTGTTGCCTATTATAACGATGATGAAGAGTAATGCGTCCGGTCAGAGAACGGGACTCAAGGGGTAAAGTAAGTTGAGTGAAGTTGTGCGGTGGAAGAGAGTGAGGCGAGTGAGTAACCACACACCGGCGAGGGTTGAATGTGTGATGAAGTCTTTGACGAGAAGTGATGGCACGAATTCAGAAAGAATGAAAGAAGAGGTTATGTTATCCTGGGAGGCAGAATGGGAGGAGAAGCGAAAGGAAGTGTTTCATTGAAGATGCCTTACTCATGAAGCAGGCGCCACGAGTGTTCCTCTGTCGCTTTTGGTTGACCTAGATTCTGGGCTTGGCTCCTTGCAGGCGACGAGAGACATCTGGCACCTCAACTGGGTGATGAACATTGACAAGATCCGAGGATTGACGTTACCAGTCAATCAATCACGTGTTCTTTTCCCTTCAAGGACAACCAGGCCTCGCACTCACCAAGTTCAAATGCATGCACGCCGCCGTCCCCTTACTTGCTGCCACATGCGCAAGAAATCGTGACTGTGGTTGCGTTTGCGCCTTGGGCGGGCAAGTCGAGTCTCGAATTAACCAGAATCGCGAGGCCCGCCGGCATTGGGTCAAAGCCCAAGAGTCTGGATAACGTCCTTGAGCAGGCCCCTACCCGACCCCAATCCACTTGAAGAAATGGACAATTTTGAGAGTCGCCTCCCGCAGAACTTTCTGACATCTCCGACTTGCATGATGATTGAGGAAAGAAAGCAAGCTTTCGATTTAGTTCAACCTGCTGACCTTGACACAGTCCCTTGCCCCGATCACCGGCACAGATGGATTGACAGGCCTAGAGAAGAACGAGACGGATGTTCCCTCCCTGAAACTCGCTGTTCTCGAAGATGGTTGCAACAGGGTGTTGAAGTACGTCAATTGAGAGGATATCCTCGCGTCTATCAGGTCTGTGTGTAACTAGGAATATACCCATATCTGCTTGCTGGCTTTGGATTGTGCGCATTTGGCTAGTGGGATCCGTCCCAGACATGCAGCCGACAATCCTTCGGCCTGTCCCACTTTCAGTTGAGGGGGCTGGCATCGCTGACTTGCATGCACACACAAACCCGCACCACATAACCCATCCTAACAGACGTTGCAAAGGCATACCGTTATCAGATGGATTGAGGGAAAAAAGCACACCCGCCCACCCAATGAAGGTGAAGTTTCGGCTCAAGTGGTTTCATCTCGCTACTTGGAGCAGTTGACAAACTCCACCGCACCCACAGCACGCAAAAAGACAAAAACAGGTGCTGATGGAGACGAGATTCGAACTCGCGCGGTTTCCCACTGCGGTCTTGGATATCCAGATAGATTTCCTAAACACAGCGCCTTAACCACTCGGCCACTCCACCGAATGAGTATTTGTTGAAAAGCGTGTATGGTTTTATCATTATCTAGGTTTGTGGGAGCGGGGAGACATGCTCCACGTTCCTGGGCGTTGGGGGGCGGACTTTGGGTAATGAGGGGTCCGCAAAACATGGTGCATATACACTAGTCCTAATTCGGTCCGTACTACCTACTCAGCGAGCCAGGGGAATGTGCGAGTTTGTTTGGAGTTGGGACATGGTTCTCAATACGACATGCATGAACCATGAGATGAACTAAGTTTGAGAACGGCACAACAAAAACAGCTTCAACAGGAAAGAAGAGACAAAAGGAAGGCGAAGAGGAAAAGAAAACGATCTCTGCAGCTGAACTACCTAGTCCATATTTGCCTTGCTGATCTAACTGATGATTCAATCGAGACTCTACCTAACACATGAGCTCTGCTTGTCAGGCTGTGTCTGTGTGCCCCTTATTCCATGACAGCCCAGTAACGCACAGCAGCAATATTCCGTTACAAGATCATTATGATGCGCCGGCAAGTCCGTTGCGGCAGAAATTCATCTACACTTTTGCATAAGTCAATTGAAGCACACGGCGATAGACCGGTAAGACGAGCGCGGAGCCCCGGATAGTGGGGCCGCGCCGGATGCGGTTTCGGTTAGCCAACCAAACGTACGATTTTGCTCTACAGGTGGATACCCGGCCGATAAGCCAAGCCCCTAAAGCAATACCTCTTCAACCCGCTTTTCCTTTTGGCCAGACCGAGACAAATCCGCAGACCATTACGCACAGCTTGGTGTATTTCACAATATTTTCCCCGTATTATAAAGTCTACGTTTGATCCTGGTGCTACCTTTCACCTTTCAAGGTCAAACGTGAAACAGCGCTCCAGTCTATTGAGGCCCCTGTGCGCCTGAGTCTTTTCTTGTCAATGCTCGTCGCTGGAGCACTAATCGTGCATTGACTACTCGTTGATCAACCTTCTGAGGTTCTTGCGCCATAGATGCTGCGAAGGAAGAAGTCATCATTCCATCGGTTTGAGAGGCATGCAGCCCCAAAGAACGAAATAAAGGAGTGACTCCCCCGGAACACAAGCTCCACCCTCCTATATACCTGCAGCATTCGTTCATATGACATGCAGTCACCTGGGGCATCATAATCTCCATGGATATGATGACGTGGACTTGGTTGGTTTCGATGACAAAGGATATACATTCTAGCCCTCGATAAACTTTTCCAACAGCAATGTAATCGGGCACCTTGGATGTCGAAGGAATTGTCGATACAGTACCACCAGCGAAATCTTTGGAGCGAAGCGGTCAAGGTCCAATAGTCATGTCTGCTCATTGTGCTGGGCACTTGGAGGACCGTGTACTCTTGACTGAAAGTGTCCAATGCAACAGGATCCCCTTGCTCGAGAGCCTTTCAATTGAGCAGGCGAGCAGACGCAAGAATGTTGCCGTTAAGGAAACATGGTAATCGGTCCATACAAATATTGGCCGTCAGTCCCCGTCAATATTGCCATCACTTCAATCTTGTCGTGCTCACTTTACCAAACAAGCAAGGTATCCAAACCGCACTTGGGGAAGATCCATCTTTTCAAATAATGCACTCGTGAGGTATCCATTCTCATCTCTTCAATGTCACTCACTGTGTGAGTTTGACCCAAGTACGCCGTCGATTGTTACCAAGTCAAAGCACGGAGCTGCCGGCGGCAGGACGGGAGGGCCGGCGCTCTCGCGGGCCGCCGAATTCCCCTCCCCCGCAACCCACAACGGCCCCACCAACAGGAAACGTCCCCCGACGTGACGTCCCCGCCGTCCACTCAACATTGAACGAACAAAAACCCCTTAAATCAAAGACTGTAACTCGCAACATCTCCCTTTCAACAGCACCTCGTCTCATCCTCTCCTTACTCAACCCAAAAGACCGTCCAAAATGGCGACCTTGGGCATGCACTACGCCCACTGCGGCACCAACGACGGCTGCAAGCTCGCCTTCCAGAGCTCCCTGCCCCTCACCGGCGCCGCCTCCGCCACGCAGTGCGTCCTCCTCATGCACGGCTTCAGCGGCTCGAGCGACTACTTCCACCGCAACTTCGACGCGCTCGTCTCGGCGGGTCTCTGGGTCGTTGCCCCGGACATGCGCGGCCACGGCAAGTCCGACCGTACGAGGGGCGGGTACCACGTCGCCCGCCTCGCCGCCGACCTGCACAACCTCGTCGCCCACCTGCGCCGCGCCGCGCCGCACGTCAAGATCGTGCCCGTGGGCTGCTCCATCGGCGCCGCCGTGCTCTGGACCTACGTCGAGCTGTTCGGGTGCGCGGATTTCGCGGGCTTTGTCTTCGTCGACCAGGCCCCGTTGCAGGACCGTTCGCCGTTCGACGGGTGGGACGAGAGCAAGGCGCACACGGGGTGCTACGACGAGAAGAGCATGCTGGGCGCGCAGCAGTTTTGGATGAGCGACTCCGCGGCCGCCCACGTGGATCTCGTGGACGGGTGCTTGGGGTACCGGGCGAAGCCCGACCCGAACGACAACGTCTCGCCAGAGACGAGAAAGAAGGACGAGGAGTTCTTCACGGGAATCAGCGCACTGTGCGACCAGGCGTGGCTGGCGAGGCTGCTGGCCGACCACACGCGGTACGACCACCGTGAGGCAATCGAGATGATTAGCGTGCCGACGCTGGTCATGGCGGGGCGCAAGTCGGGGTGTTTCCCCCTTGAAGGCATGCTCGAGACAGTCAAGCGGGTGGAGAAGAACCGGCCAGGCCTGGCAAGAGAGTCTGTGTTTGAGGCTGGACACTGGCTATTTTATGAGCAGCCAGAGAGGTTCAACAGCGAGATTGCCGAGTTTGTGGGCAAGTGCTCGAAATGAGCGGTGTAAAACGACACCAGGAGAATGAGTCTGTTGATTGGAAATGAAAAATGAAAAAAGCTTGTGCGAAGAATCAAGCAGACGACCCTTGTCCTTGGCCACGAGAAATGCAACGAAGCCCAGCTTGAGTGAAACGCTACCGTGTGGAAAGGGTACAAAACTCGATTCAGAAAGACCCAGAAGCCGCAAGGAGAAGCCACAGGGACTTTCCCGAACCACATATCGCCCAATGGCCATTGAATAACATTTGAGGCTTAGACTTTCTTTCCCCCTTCGATCAGTTTCGACATCATTTGAATCTGTTGAGGAATGATAGTTGCATGTTTGTACACAAGATCTATGGTAGGTATTCATCGCCGCTATATCATGCGCCCAATCACGCATCATCCTCGAGCCCGACCAACTTGAGACTCTCAGTCCACAGCCTCTTCTCGGCTGGGGGATCGTAGGCAGACGGCGCATACCCGGGCCTGGCAGTCCAGCCCTCGGGCGCAACCTCCTCGGCCTCGGCAACATCGTCGAGGTACTTCCCGCCCTTGCCCTCCCACTCCTTGGCGACGGCGGCCCAAACGGACGTGGCAGCGCCCTGCTCGGGCGTCTTCATCCACTTGGCGATGTCAGGGTCCTCGAGCATCTTCAAGAGCTCAGGCGTATGCCTCTGTAGCGGCGTCCGGATGCCGCCCGGCATGAGGCTCAGGGCGTGGAGGCCCTTTGAGCCGTAACGGCGGTCGAGCTCGTTGGCGAACAGGATGTTGGCGAGCTTGGCCTGGCCGTAGGCCGCCCAGGGTTGGTACTCGACGGTATGGTCGAAGTTGAAGTCTTCGAACTGGATTCTGCCCTGGCGGTGGCCCGATGAAGAGACGGAAACGACGCGCGAGTTAAATTCAGGAGTCGAGGAGGCCAGAAGAGTTGGCTTCAGGAGCTGAAAGAGAAGGAAGTGACCTTTGTTGGTGTTAGCCGTCATCGATTCTGCGCAAGGAGTCGTCATGCTTACCGAGGTGGTTGGTCCCGAACTGAGTTTCGAACCCATCGACGGTCTTTCCCTTGGGACAGGCCATGACACCTGGAAACCGAGTTAGTATCCGCCTTAAAATGGATTCGGAGTATACCTCGCTTACCGGCATTGTTGATGAGCACATTCAACTTGTCAGACTTGCTCAAAAACTCCTTGACACCCTGTCTAACACTTTCAAGGGAGCCAAGGTCCAACTTGATGACTTCGACCTTTCCAGGCTTGCCGTCAGAGAGGATGTCTTTGGCGACTTCCTCGCCCTTGACAACGTCGCGGACGGTGATATAGACGTCGGCGCCGGTGACGTGGAGGGCTCTGGCGGTCTCAGGACCAAGGCCGCCAGGGGAGCAGCCCGTAACGATGGCTACCTTCCCGGCCCATTTCCCGACGAGGCCTTGATCTTCAACGATTTGGATGGCCGTGGGACGGGCGTCTCCAGGGCCGGTGATGTTCTTGTGCTGTTCAGCGTAGGGCGCCAGACGAGACATTGTGTTGAATGAGGAGTGATGATATCTATAAGAAGAGGGTTTGCTGAGGGAGGCGTACTGGTAGATGGATCGAGTCCGAAGTGTGAATGCGGGCGTGAGGGTTTTATGCAGGCAGAGGACAGAGAAAGGTGGCATGCTGTCGGAATATCACGATCTTGTTGATGGTCGTGGTCCAAGGATTTATATAGCAAGACTGGACGCGGCCGCAAGCACCGCATTCCTGGCCAGGGTTGCTAGTAGGTACGAGCCGTGTGATGCCATTGGACGGAGTTACGGAGTTAAACTTGAGCACCTGCAGCCTCGACAGGACCAACCTGGAAATCTTGCCCACCTGATTGGGCGGTAAAAGCTTTGTCCGTTCGTCGTGACCAAATCCATCGTCGAACGTCGTGCTTCCATATCATCATCATCATCATAGGTAGTTCAAGTAAGGATTCGCGTAGAGCAGCCCTGCAAGCCAAGCTGCCTCAACAAGTAGCCCATAACAGGTAATAAATGTACCTGCCATTCTGCACTTTTTATCGTCAGTCAGAGGCTGTCGAGCTGCCGTTAGAGCCGCTAAGCTATTGAAGCGGCGGTCTTGCTGCGTGCGTGGCTTTGACCTTGGATTCTGAGCACGGTAGCACGGTAGCAGGTTGCTCCCAAAGTCTGC